CTTATGTTTGATAATAGTTGCATGACTGCCTTTTTAAAAATCAGCAAGTATATCTAACCCCAGCTAAAAAGTACATATTATCAAGATAAAAGCCATGTATGCTTTTATACAGTTGTGACATCCATATACTGCGAGACAAAGGTCTCAACCTAACTACAGAGTGCCTAATGATGTTAAAAAAAAAAAATAAATCCAAGGTTGGAATGTAACGCCTCCTTCATTATGTGGTTAATTCCATGTACAAATAAATAACCTTTTAGAAAGGTTACCAGCTGTCTAGGCATTAGCTAGGAGTGAGTTCAATATGAAAATCCTATGCCTTTAAAGAACTGTCCCAGGTTCCAATACACTCACTCTCTGTATACACCCAACTTGTCAAAAGCTTTACAGGTAATATCTTTTCATCCATTCTGGTTTTAAGGGAAAATAAAGTCTTCTCCCATCAATTGCAGTTATCTGTAGGCAGCAACCTTTTAATGTCTTTCATAGCAGCTTCTAACTCTGATTTATCAGGAGGGTATTTTTTGGCAGAAGATGCTTCTTTCCAACAGAGAAGCAGGAGTTCACTGAGTCAGCCACATCACCTGAAATGAATTGCTGAAGTATGGAGGATATCACTGTACATCACAGCTCCGTGATGTGCAGTGGCACATCTGTTTAGGGCAAACCTGCTCCCACATGGAATTGGCACAAACCCCCATTCTACCTGCAAGGGTCACTTGAGGATACAGAATTTGAACAGGAATTTTGCATATGGGTGGAGAGATATTAATATCCAGTTTCTCTTAGAAGAGATGTCATAAAAAATACAAAATGTTTTACAGCAATCCAGACTAGTCCTTCTCCTTGAAATAACAAGGAAAATACTTTGGCATAGAATAATTCTAACACACCCTTTGCAATACCATGACCTAAGTCTGTTAAGGTACCAAACTGAAGCTAGAGATTGTATTGAAGGACATTTACGTAAAGTCATGATCAATAAACACACTCCTTTAAGTAAGGCCAGATGCTTGATACTATTTCACAACACATGAGGACTAGGACAAGGTTTATTGAACTTGATCAACTGGAATAGTGCTGTTAACTAAAATGGAAACCTGAGAAAAACAGAAATAAAACTCCAAATGGAAATGCTGCTGGTGGTGTAACAAAATGGGAATGTGAAGGTACATAGCCTGAACAAGTTCAATAATTGGACAGTTTTCAAGAATAAGTAGCAATATTTCTGTCAGGGATGACTCCACCCTGAAGTGTCTCTTTCAAAATAATCTGATTAACCATGTAAGCTCTAATACAGGTCACTACCAGAAATAGTGAAGGACAGACTTGGACAAAGTTCGGCTGCCACTCTATAAACAGAGGAGCTATCAAGTAAAATGTATCTTGCTTTAATTTCAAGCAGTGTACAATGTCACAGGTACAGTGTCCCTGAGATGCTATAGCCAATACTGAACTTTGATAGTTCCACAAACTTATACTACAAAGACAATCAGCAAATCATCACAATGAGAAATTCCAGTGGCAGACTTCACAAACTCAGAATTTTAGTCTAGAAAATTTGTGGAGACCTACACAATTTCTAATATATGCTCCCTCACATCTCCAGAGGAGTATTTCCTCTTCCCTCTAGGCTGGAGAGAAAAAAAAAGATTTGTTGGGAATTTCAGAGCCAACTTAGTTATCAGATCTCTTTTTAGCTACTGAAAGCTTACTTCCTTAACAGATATTTCTCCATCCCCTAACCTCAGCATCTCTACACACTGCTAGACAGCTGTCATTTTATGTAACCTATTGAGGTATGCTAATAGAACCACAAAGAAAAGAAGTGGTGATTGAGCTCTGTGCTTACACTTCCCCCTTAACAGGATTCTTGAACACCCAGACACAACCCACTGGATGCTCTTGCTGCGTAAAGGAAATACCCTGGCTGGATCAGTATCATAGGGGTTAAAACTAGCTAGAAGAAGCAAACAGTTGAAATTGCATATTTGCTCTGCAAATCCAAAACACTAAGGCAGCAGCTTCTGATGTGGAGAGTCTCCCCAAAAAAAACATGTTTACCAACAACTTTATAGCCTTACCAGTCTTTGCATGCTACTCCTGCTATTTGAAGTCCCAGTTCCCTCAGCACCTGCAGAGGCACTGAAGCACAGTAAAAAAGACCTAGGCTCTTCTAGTTTATAGTACCCACAAAAAACCCCAAAAATATCTGGAGGCAATCAGGTGTTAGGGCCAAGGGACTCCAATCAGTGGGAAGGGGGATTAAAAAAAAAAAAATCACTTTTGTGACACTTACAAATTCTAAAATGCATGTCAAAAAACTGGGATGGAAGCCCAGAGATGAGCTCTCTCTTCTTGGCTCTATCACCTGTTGCCCATTTGTTTCAAGGGAGCCTTGTCTATATCTCAGACTGCTCTATCCCATTTATTTTTAAAAGACGGGGAAAACAGCCACCTGCCTCAAAGAGCAAGAAATTAGTCAACACTGGAAAGCACCAAGCTGCTCACAGACAACTGTAAATAGAACTTTCAAGAAACTCAGACACAGCCTTTCATCAAAGCAGAAGTCTCAGCTCCAAGGTTTCAAAGAGCACTTTTCCTGTTATTTTTGCAAGTTCATATGCCACAAGTCTAATGGCATGTGAGAGATCTCCTGACCTTTGGGGCATGTGACTGTAACAGCAGATTGCAGACAACATTTCCTCATTAACACAAATATGACAACAGTGGCCTAAGTGGTTTCTTGCTTGCTCACCTCAACCAAAGGCCTACAGCTAAGGTGGCACATTTCTTCGCAATGAGAATTACTATCGAAAGTAGTTACAATGAAAGCAGTCTCAGAAGCAGATAAACACCACAGCACAAATCCTGAGCACAACTTCAGGTCTCACTGCTGGCTTACCTGTTAGCTGTGACTTGACAAAGGAGAAATAACCCATCAAATTCAACTAGCAACTAAGGGTGCACAACCATCAGACCTTTTATTTTATTGTTTAGAGTGAGACTTATGAAATAGATCATGTTGTGTGGAAACAGAAAGCCAAACTTCTCTGCAATGGAACACTCTCTACTGAATAAAAAGTATTTATATGAAGTCACAAAACCCAACATCTGACAGGTCATGTCTGGAAACAAGAACACCAACGCTTCTTGTTTGTTTTACCATAAAACCCCAGAATCTTACGTCTTACAAGTACCCAGCAAAAAAAAAAACCTGTCCCATGACCACAGAAGCAACTTCACATAACAGTTAACTGTGAAAACTGAAAGATCCACTTAACGATTCGCCTTTAGTAAAGTTATTTAAGGCAAGTGAGAATCTGGTAATGATTATTAAACTTGCCTGGTTTGCACACACATTTTCACCTTTCAGTACAAAATATTCGCATTTACATGAATGTTTCGACCACCCTGGTGTTTGAAACTTTCATATAAATACAAAAAAAAGCAATAGAATTTATCCTCCTTAAACACAGACATGCTATTTTCACCCAAAGTGTTTCAATACGTCACTGTTCAGTTGAATCTTGATAAGGCGTTTAAATTCACTTAGAACTGCAATCAACCCAACAAAAATGAACCTCCAGCACTCTCCTGTACGTGAATCACAGATGCCAATACATTCAGATCCTTCGGCAAGTTTAGGCCCTAAGCTTCTAAAGAACCAGAGGATTGTTACTATATCACACAACACTGAACGTTTTATTCATATAAATATGAACAAAACTCCAGTTTTATTCCACTCATATAAAAAATATTAAGCCAAACGAATTTAAGGGGGAAAAAACCCCGAGAAAGGAGACCCTTCAAAGCCCTCGGCAGGCAGCAGACCCTCAGCACAGACACGGCTGCTGGCCCCCTGGCAAGTTTAACCGCACCGTTATGATAAAACGGCCCTCGGGCGGCACAACGGGGGCTCCGCGTTACCCCGCCACGGCGGCGACACGGACAAGTTTCGCGTGGCTGCGGCCCCTGGGGCTGCCCGGCGGGGGAGGCCGGGCCCGCCCCAGGCCCCGGCAGTGTGGCGCACTCGGCAAAGCGCCCGCTGGCCGCCGGCTCCGGGCACGGCGCACCGGAGTCCCGCCAGCCGCCGCAGGGCCGGGCCGGGCCGGGCCGGGGCCCCCTCTCCTCCCGCCTCCGCCGCCGCGGGGCTCTGAGCCCGCTGTCCCGGACCCGGCCGCCCTTTGTTCCGGCTCGCGGCTCCCGGCCCCGAAGCGGCGGCGACGGCCCCAGCCCCGCGTCCTTCCCCCCTGCCCGAGCTCCCCGGAGGAGCCCCCGCCGCGCAGGAGGAGAGGCCAGAGCCGCTCGCCCCCTGTAACTTTTGTTATGGTGGCAGCGGGGAGGGCGTCCGGAGCCCCCGAGGAGCGGCCCCCCCGTGCTGAGTCACCCCCTCCCCGCGCCCCGCGGACAATGGCGAGGGCGGGCCGTGCCCGGCCTGCCCGCCCCGCGCGGCCCCCGCACCGTAATGTTGCAGTGGATGGTGAGCGGCGGCGGCGGCTGCGGGCTGGAGCCCGGCGGCGGCGGCAGGAGCACAAACTGGCAGTGGAGCTCGTCCAGCTTCCAGGAGACGATGCGGAAGCGCTCGTGGTCCTTGTCGAAGATGGACTCGAGGAACTTCAGCTCGGCCTTGAGCCCTGACACCGACATCCTGGCCTCATCTCCGGGCCCGGGCCTGCGCTGCCGCCGCCTCCCTTCGACTCGGCCGGCCCGACCCTGGCCCCGGCCGCGCCTGCGGGGCGGAAGATGGCGGGGCCGGGGCAGCCCCAGCCGGCGGGGCACGGCGGAGCTCCCTTTGTACCGGCCTCCGGCGCCCGCCCGCTCGCTTAAAAGGGCAACAGCGCAACCCGCTCCCCTTCCCTTCCTCCCCGGCGGGCCGGGCCAGCAGCACCAACCGCCCCGCCCTCGCCCTGCCTTCCTCCTTATAGCCCGGCCCCGCGCCCGGGACACGCGCACCGGGGCCGGCCCGCGCCCCGCTCCTCCCCCGGGCCGCCTCCCGCCCCCGGCGGGCACGGCCGGGCTGGCCAGCGGCACCTGCGGGCGCTGCCTCCTGCTGCCCGACCGCCGAACCGCTCGCCCGTGCTGCTCCTCCTCTCCCACCGCTCAGCCCGGCGGCAGGGCATGCGGTATTGCTTCCTCACCGCACTCCTGTTCTGCTGAGAAAAAACTGCAGCACTGGGTTTGCACTTGTCATCTCAGAGTCCTGTTAGTCGTACTCCTCGGAGGTCAGTCGACTTAAGCCAGGAATTCCTGTACTGACGTTTCTGGCGGATCCATACTCATAAAATCTGCTGTCAGTCACTGGAGGCTGGAAATCAGCAATACAGTGGCCAAGAAAAAATTGCTTCTACTCCATTTAAGTTCCCCTCTAATTGTTTGTAAAACATATTATCCCCAGAAAAAGTATCGTGATGCATGAAAGCATTGGTAGTGAAGTAAATAGTCAATACATTCAGACATCAAGAGGTTTTGCCCCTTCCTGACACTGGAAATAGCATCTCTGCACCTTTATTTGTCCCTTCCCCTCTTGGTTTTGCATATAGATAGTTGTCAGCTCTTTGGGAATATGGAGCATCTCTCACATCATGAGAAGAGTAATACAAGCAATGGTGTTGCACGGTGTCCTTCACGTTTTCCCAAACAGGTATTAACTAATGCAATACACACATAAACCTAGAACAGTGAATTGCCTTTTTTTAATTGATATTTTTTATAAATCTTTAATTCCAGACAAACTGGCAGCACTTCACAAACCACAAGCTGAATCTTGTCAAGCGGTGAGAACTCTAATCTTGAGCCAGAAAAACAGTTACGCAAATGCCCAGCTCCAAGCATATGGAAGTCTTACTGATTTGTGGGCTCGAGATTCCTATCCTTCCAGCAAAGAGAGCTGCAAAGAACATGCTTTGCTACAAAAGGACGCAGGAAGAATCGACACTGGTTAAATACTCTGAATGAAAGATACCAGAAAGTCCATAGGATTTTTTAGCTGTCATTTGAAAGACTCTGATTATGCAGCGTGTGCAACTCAGCTCTTCTAGACAGGCCGAACTATTGCTTAGACTGTACAGCCTGCAAAGTGAAGCCAGAGTGGATATAACTGTTGTGTGTCAATACCTCAACAGGCAGGGCAAAGAACTTCGAGAGATAAGGGATGGTTTAAGTATAGGGGCAAACTAGCTATAAATAAGGAGCAGAAAATGACTATACCTATTAGAAACTGAGGACCTGGAAGAAGCTCCCTATGGGAACCCCAGAGACAAAACCAACAAAGCAGACTTTGTCAGGCGTTGCATGGTGTGATGCATGAAACAGCAGAGGAATGAATCTGGTGACTCAGCCCAACTTCCCTCGTAGGAATGCCTCACTGCAGCAGTTAGGTGAGTAGGCTTAGCAAGCTTGAACTGCACCTTACCAGAACTGCCTCTAGCCGAACCTCTGCTCTTCCATCCTCCTTGTCCTCTCATCTACCTTCCCTCTCCTCTGCCTCTCTGCTGACTGTGACATCGCACTTTTTTTGGCAGCTGCACAGCTGAGATGTGTGGATGTGCTGGCTGGGAGGATACCTCGCCACACTTCTCCTGAGCACCAGGCAGACCAAACAAATTGTTTAATTGGCCAAGTGTGTTCTGCAAACCCAGTCTAGAACTTTCCCCAGATCGTTCAATCTGCCTTTTTGTTACAGGCTTCAAGAAGTAACACACAGCTGCACAGCCACCACTCTTCTGAATTCTCTTGCCCTTCTCAGTATTTAGTAGGCATTGTGCAAACTGTGACTTAGTTTCTGTGATAAGACCTTGAGAACACATTGGGGCTGTCTCCTTTTCTGGAATTCAGAGGCTGCTTCAGAGGTGTGAAGAGCTGATAGACATGTCTGACTCATTCCTGTTTCTTTCTTCAGGACTTGCCATGGGACATTGACATGAATCTCATGTTGGACATAAGATGATTCAGGAAAGCCCAGAGTTTCCCAAAGACCAAAATGATTGTACACAGGGCAGGACCTGACTTCTCAGGTTAATAAAGCTAATGAATCTTGGTACAGCCCCCCAGGAGCACTCTATCAGATTCCAGTAGTTACAGTTGCTCTTAAGTTCCTTGATCTATATTGTCTGTAAGCACCATTGTTTTCTTCAACATCACAATTACCTCCAGGTAATTACCTCCAGCCCCTTCCAGGGGCTGAACTTTGGCCAAATCCCTGTTTTGAAGATAACATACTTTCATAACCTCCTTTGTTTCTTTTTCCTCCTTTTTATTTAAATATAGGAAATTTTGTAAGAATCTTCAACTGAAACTCTCAAAAAAAAAAAAAAAAAATGCAGATTGCTCATTGCATTCTGGGGTAGAACAAGGAGACAAACAGTTTAGACCAAAGCTGTCTTTCCCCTTAGCATTTACTGCCAGCCCTGTTTCCAGCAGATCAGAGAGACATGTCCCTGGCAAGACGGAAGGCCAGCAGCAAGGGGCAAAGGGAGCTGAAGGAAAGATGAACTCAGAATGAGCCATTAATAAGGAAATTAAGTAAAATATAGGATGGATGGGCTTTGATGAAAGCAGTAGTTGTCTGGGGCTTAAAGAAAGGATCTTCCAGGACACAGATGAATTTCAGTTTGTGTTAGTCCTTTTCTTCCTGTGAATGCCTTTTCCAGGTCTGCTGTATTTCCAGCTTTACCCCTGAATGAAGCTCCTGTACATTCAGTTGAGTGTGCCTAGCAGAGGATTGATTTGTTTCTCTGAGAGTAGTTTATAATTTTGGTTTTTGACCTCACTTCTCTCATTTACAGCCTAGTACTTAGAAAGAGGTCTTTCTGTTTAATTCTGATGTCACTTTCCCAAAAGAAATGTCAGGCACCAAAAAGGAACTGCCATTTCAGAAATAGGGAAGGTCCAGACCTTTTGTATCCCTAAACCTCAGTAGACAGAGAAACTAAAGGATAAAGTTAATGAGATGGGAGGAAGTGTAAATTGATTTTACTGATGGATGATGCAGTTTGATAATAGTTGATCCCCAGGTACACTCAAACTTTTTTCACAGATAGCAGCAGAACCTGAGACTAGAAAAGACAAATAATAGCTGACACCCATAAAGAGAAGGTGAAGAGTAGGACCCTACCTGAAACCTTGGACAAAGGCAGAAAGAGTAAAGAGGATCCTGCTTTACCAAGAGACAAGACAAGCTGTCCTGCTTGCCAAAGCCAGGCTTTCACGTCATTCTGAGCTCACAGCACGTGTCATTGCTTCAATAATGAAGTCACCTTCAAAGTTTTGAGAAAAAAACATACATCAGTGCATGAAAGCTGATTAAATGGCTAGTTTCAAGAAGCATCGTGTGCAGTGGGTGAGGGATTGATTAGTCCCTCAGACACCAATTTCCCTTTAACAGTTAAGGAAAGGCATTCCAAAACCAATCTATCCTAGAGCAGCTTGGGACAGAGAGGGATGCTGTTGCCCAGATATTCAGTAATAGGTGTCAAAGAGATGTCTGCAGGCACTTAAATAACATGGCCATGAATTTAACATCAAAAAAATAAAGTTGCATGATTTTACCCAGAGTGGTCTGGAGTAGTTTTCAACTCCAGTTCTTCCAAGTCCATCTTTGTGGTGGTCAGCAATGAAGTCAGTTAGGTCCCTTCTTTGGAGTGCTGTGGCTCATCCACTGAGGACTGTAATCCTGTACAAGAAACAATAACCTGTTGGTAGAGATCACACTGCTGTTTGTGGATTTCTGTGTAGTTCTGTGCCTACTTACATCCATGGCTGAACAGTGAATATTTCTGAACTGTCAAAAGCTGGATGGTGTCTGCAAGGCAGGGTCAATGATATGTTTTTGTTTTATGTGAAAGTTGAGGGAGTTAATTTATTAGAAGAAAGGTGCCCCAGGAAAGCCAAGCCATGCTAATCACAGTCTTGCAATGCTGCAGATGGGGATTAAAATCCACTATGCAAACGCATCAGAAACCAAACTCTTTGTGCATGCAGTGAGAGAACACACCTAGTTCTCTCCTCAATGGCTCACACAGCTTCCTGAAAACAGATTAAAACCACATCTCTGAAAGCAATAAGGAGCCGTGCAGCCATATCTGAAACATTCCATTTGATAAAATAAATTAACAAACTAGAGAAAAAAGAAAGATGTGGTGCTTTTCCAAACCCAGCTGGGTTAGGGAAGAAGTAGTTACACAGAACTGTTCAGAGCAGAGCACCACACCTTCCCTTGACTTCCTAGGACTTGCACCCTTTCCTTGGGATCCACAGGCTCATAAGCCTTACAGGGCTCAGCAAGCTTATCTTCTCCTGCCATCACAGATGCTTAAAAGGAATTTCAGGAGCAGAGGTCAGATGCCAGGCTAATTCCTACTAAATACATTTCTGCCTGGAGTGGAAGGCAAGGGAATGGGCAGACCCCCCAGCTCAGGTGTTCCCAGGGCTCAGATGCAATCATAGCCACAGCTGAATACTCAGCCACTCCGTCCCCCTTTTGATTTCTTATTTTGATAAGCAGTTAACTTTGTCCACATTTAAAATATCAGCACAGGGCATCAGAGTTGGCAGACACTGAGATGAACTGGGCAGGTCAGAGTTATTGTTCCAGATTCTGCAACCGCATAACTTAGCATGGAAAAGACAGGTGGAATGCATCTCAGCAGCCCTGCCATCCACTGCTTCTCATTTACTTTTGTCTCTTCTTGTAGGCAAGTTTAGATTTTGGGGAAGAGAGTTGTGCCTGGGACAGTACTGTCCCTGTTCAAGTGCTGCCTTACCAGTGTCATGCCAAACCAGGTGTGACAGGATGCAGCCTCATTTGGTATGTGGGGAAGGACAGACTGGGGAACTAAACCAGTGGTTTTCAACCATTTACTGATTTGGAAATCACAAGTGTCCACAGGCCACAAGTCAAGATCTACCAAGCCCCAGTATTTTTACATAATCTGCATCTGCTTAATTTTAAATATCAAATGCACAAAATTGAGCTTGGTAGATACAACAGTGGAAAAAAAAACCCAAAACCCAGAAACAAACAAGCAAACAAACAAAACCACCAAACACCAAACAAAACAAAACAACAAAACAAAACCAAAGGTAGTGAAGTACATCTGGAAAACTAACCCATCTACCTTTACTGGTGAAAGAAGGACAGAAAATATAAGGGTTTTTTTCCATTATAAAGCTGACTTAAAGCCATCTTTCCTCAGAATGACTGAGAAAAAGTCACAGAAAACAGCAGTCTGAGAATCAAATGTGAGACCGAACCTCAGAAAAAGAATGATCATAGCAATTATTTTCTGTAAATCTGACTCTTTTCCTGCTAGAAACAAATTCTAATCACAAAATGCTGCTGAAACAGATGAAGGATAACAAACTCAAGCAGTTGTATGTGCCCTGGAGTTTATAAGGAAGGGAACTTCATATAGATTTACAACATCAGTGAGTAAAAGGAAAGTAACAGAACCAACATACTTGGCTTTAGACCAACATTTGGAAGACTGAATCACAGAATTCTGAATATAACTAATTCACATCTCTTTTGACATAACAGCACCCACATAATTTGAGAACTGGCTTAAGAATTGTGAATGAGGAATAAAAATAGCAAATAACTGAGTGGGAAAAGGTGTGTTTAATGTTAAGTGTGTTGAAAATGGATCATGGTAGTGCTATGTTAGAGTTCAGATCAAGACTTTCAGTGTGATTTAGAAGAAATTGTAATTGATGAAATTATCAGATAATGGAGAGAAACATTTTGAATAGCAATGAGGACAAGAAAATAATTCCAACGGGTGCAGAAAAATCAATTTAAAAAGTCACGTCCTTGATCTTTAAAGCCACAAACCTAATGATTCCTACTGTCCTATAGATTGCATTTTTATATCACCATCACACTGGATCTCACTTGGGCCCATTCTATAACACCCCCCCCATACACCTTCCCAGTTCCTTCCCATGTCTCCACGCTTCTTACTTTCCATAGGATTCTCCATATTTCTACCCACAGTTACAACCTGTTTTGGCTCGGGGAGGCAGAGCAGATGCTGTCACTGTTTTCAGAATCTACCCTGCTTGGTACATTCTCTTGTGTTCTTTACCTGGAACACTGCAACCGTGATCTTAGCAGAAAATTATCAAAAACCACAGCAGAGTGTGGGACTTGGAGGAGAGATTTCTGATGTGAGACCTAATAGCATTAAACACCAGAGCTAGATTCTGTGATGCAGCCAATGTCCATTAGGATACTCCTTTACACACCCCATCCTAGCCCTGGCTTGCACTCACTTTAGCTCCAGGCACAACTGAGCAACCTCAGAACAACATCTGTGTGACACCTGTAAGAATTCAGTATGGCAATGTACTCACCAAGGTGATTTTTTTTGTCTCTAGACAAGAGTCTTAACTTGTCCCCTGTCTGCTGAGATAAATGTATCTGGCTTGAAGAGCCAGTCTCATATAAACAATTTAAACTAGGGAATAGTCAAATAGGAATACAGTGTCCTTCCACAAGGACAGGAGGAGAGGAACACAGTTGGAGGGAAGGAGCTAAAGAACCTTTATCATCCCCTCTCTTCATTAGTACATGGTTGTATCACGTAACCAAAAGTACAGCAAGTTGTAGCACAGGCCTGCCTCTATGTTCTGGCTGTCCAAATCTGCAGGTTGGGAGCACTTATGTAAGGGATTATTTAGCTCTGATGAAGAGAAGTAAGAAAAGTTAAATTAAGCTGGGAAGAGGAAAACATAACCAGAATGTTGGCCCAAAGATTCCTGCCACATAAGAGACCCTGGGATTGCTTCCTCGAGGAAGCGATGCCATAGGGCAAAAGAGCTGCCAAGAGTGGCCACCAAAGCGGGCCAAGGGTGGCCCAAGGTGAACACGGCACGGAAGGCCAAGGGAACAGGCTGCGAAATTACAGTGGTGGGGTGGGCTGGAGTGCGGGGCGGCGCTGGGGATGGGGCAGCGCCCCTGCCGCGTGTCCCGGGTGTGTCCCGGGTGTGTCCTGGGTGTGTCCCGGGTGTGTCCCGGGTGTGCCCAGGAGCTGCCCCATGTCCCGCTGTCCCCATGCCCCAGTATCCTTCTGTTCCGATGTCCCGGTGTCCCCATGTCCTGGTGTCCTCATGTTCCGAAGTTCCTCTGTTCCGATATCCCTCTATCCCCATTTCCCGATGTCCCCGTGTCGCGGTGTCCCCATGTCCGCATTTCTCTATGTCTCCATTTTACGATGTCCCCATGTCCTTCTGTCCCCATGTCCCTCTGTCCCGTGTCCCGCTGTCCCATGTCCCTCTGTCCCGCGTTCTTCTGTCCCG